CTGTGTGTTGCCCTTTTTTTTTTTTTTTTTTTTTTTTTTTTTTTTTAAATAAAGTCCCATTTTATTTTTCCAAGCTGTTTTTTTTTTCCTTCTGTCTTCATGAAGCCATATCTTTACATGGGCTTTGGTGGCTGTCATGGTACAGCACCAACAGGTCTTAATTGTGGTGGGGGTGTTAGGTTCTTCTGGGCTTCCCGGGATTGATTCCTGACTACTTTGCTATGAATTGCACAGCTCACACAGTAATGCAGTTTGGGAAGCACGTAAGCACTGAAGATGCTTGCTTCGGATATGTCCCTGACAGCAGCGGCCTCTACAATGTTCCGAATAATAAACTTCTTAATGGCCTTGTCCTTGGGCACACACCGGGCACAGTTTGTGCAGCGAATTGGCTGCACATGGCAGTGGCCCTTTTTGGCACACCCGTTGTTTCCTCTTTTTTTGGTCATCTTGGAGCCAAGACCCGAAAGAGCTGCACTTAGCTTTTGTTGTATACAGCATTCTGCTTCCATGTATATCTGCACACCAGAAGAGGGTGCCAGATCTCATAACAGATGGTTGTGAGCCACCATGTGGTTGCTGGGAATTGAACTCAGGACCTCTGGAAGAGCAGTCAGTGCTGTTAACCTCTGAGCCATCTCTCCAGCTCCATGTGTCATTTTCTATAAGGGACGATGGATATCGGAATAAGGGTAGAGCATGTTTTATTTCTTTTTATTTTTTATTTTCCCCTCCCTCCCCTCCTCCTGCTCCCCCTGCCCCCCCCCCCAGAGTGTGTATTAAAACCAATTTTCCATTGATACCGAGGGGCCACTGTATACGCCCTGTATCACTTCGGTGCTCCAGTGAAGTCATCCTTTAAGAGGGCCTGAGCTGTGGGCTCTCCCGAGGGTGTACTGAGCTGCTGCATATGGAAGGCATTCCAGGGTCCTCCCCTTGGGCCCTGGGGACTCGGGATGCTTGCACACTCTTCCTCTTATCACTGTTCTTTAGCTATTTTGGGCCTTTTTGGTTCCTTGCTCTCTGGGTTTACTTCTGGTTCCACACGTTCACACCATAAATCTGGAATGTTCCTAACCTTCTTGGTCATCCCCCCCTCCACCCCGGGTCTGTTTGATGTGTTCTGCATGAGCTTACATGTCGCTTCTCAAGCAGGCAGAATAGACAGTGTGATTGGAGATCGGTATATAGCAGTGCTTGGAGTGCGGGTGTGGGGGAGATGGGTAGATCCCCGGGGTGTGTTGGCTGGCAAGTCTAATCTACTTGGTGAGCTCCAGGCCAGTGAGATAATTTGTCTAAAAAAATAGAAGTTTTCTTATGAATGACACGCCAGAGTTGATCTCTGGCCCTTACAACACATGAGCACATGAACATGTACACACTCACACACACACACACACACACACACACACACACACACACACACACAGAGAGAGAGAGA